TACAATATTTTATTGGCCATAATAAGACATAAGGAATAAGACATAAAAGGAATTTGACTTCGGTGTTTGCATAGCATCAGGAACTAAATGTAACTAAATGTAATTTTCACCCAATTCACCCTCCCAGTAACAACTCTGTGAGGTAGCTTGGCCCAAAGTCAACCAGTGAACTTCCATGGGTGAGGGTGGACTAGAAACTGAGTCTCCTATGCTGGTCTATGATTGTAATAAAGATTTCATTTGATTAAACCTGAGTCTCCCTGTTCTTAGTCCAACACCTTAACCATTACAACTCACCGGCTCTCACATTGTCATAATTTTTCTTTGTCAGGTGATTAAGGAAAACTAAAATTCCATTTAGTAATATAAAAAGGTATATGAAATAAAGTCAGTTCTGCTAGGAACATAAGTACTTCTAAAATTATTTGTCATAATTTGATTCCTGAGCAATTTCCTTACCTTTGTAACTAAAGCTATATGTTCCATACAAGCCTTGTATTTCAAGAGCTGGGGATTAGGAAATGAAGCCACTGAACAGTAAACCTTCTGTGCCCTCCACCACTCCCACAAAGTATGCAGAAATTAGATTAGCCATGCCATGTTTCCCAAAATTCTCTAGGATGTGTTAGTAGTTCTAACATTAAATGCTTTTTGTACATGATGATTTAATACCAAGTCATTATTGGTATTCCCAGTATACACAAACCCAAACACCATTCTTTTTCTTTCTCTTGCTTTTCCCCTGCTCTCCATACACTCATAAACACTTTTCCTAAATTTATTTATTTTTTGTTTGTTTGTTTTGGTTTTTACCATTTAAAAATCATATCTAATGTAAAAAATCAATAAAACTAGAAAGAATAAGTTTTGCATAAGTGTGCTTTTGTAATATTCTATACAAATCTCACAATTGGCAACACCTGTCCTTTTAATAGTATAAGTGTACAACAAAACAAGATGTTGCTTAGATTGCATAGAGTTAATATTCCAATGATATTTTTCTGTTGTACATTCACTTTTAAATTTAGTGCAATCACGTTACCTATTCATTTCATAATCCATTTCCTCTCATCATGGTACCTAAATGTTGACCTTAACTTTCAAATCATATTACTCTTCTCTGCCTGTTCTTTAGTATCCTATATTGACTTGCAAAGAACAACGGTTTTTATTTTCCCTATTCCTTTCATTTCTTCTACCATCCCACTATACATACTTTTTGGTGCTGTTTTTCCTTGTTTACTTTTTATGTCTTCATCCTTTCCTTGATATCACAGAGCTAGGTCTTGATCTGTGTGCTAATAAAATTTTATAAATTATAATACAAGGCTTAAAACTATCAACACTATTAAACTTATCAACACTATTAAACTTAAAACTGTCAACACTATTAAAGACAAAAACCAAGGTTTAAAAGATCAAAAGAAGTTATAGTACCAAGTTAAAACTAACAAGATGAAAATCAGCAGAACTTGGTTTCACACGAAGTCATTGGTTCAATAAATAATTTACTATTGTATATTCTTTGGTTTCCTGCATTTTCTCTTGAAGTCCTAACTTTTTATAGATATACTAAAGCAAAATCTATTCTAGATCCAGTGACAGTGGTAATAGTAGAACAGGGGTACATGTCTTAAGCTGAACAAATTACCATAGTTGTTTCAAACCATAGTTAATTTAGTAGTCAGCATACCTGATTTTGATATGTATAATGATGAAAGCATTAGACTAAGTTGAGAGAGAGCCAGTGTGGTAGTTCTCACACTGTCAACAGAAAGTAGCATAATAGCAAATAGGACAGTTACAAAAACTGATGAGCAGTGGAAATAAGCCAGTCTGCTCAAATGAGGGGTTCAAGTAGTGAGGTAAGTAGAAGGGGAAAGAGAAAGGCACACAAAAAGTTTTGGACATTGTTTCTCTCTATAAAACGTGTTCTTGAAACACAACAATTGCTGGAATTATTTGGTTGTAGCTTCCTATTTTTTCAGTAAATATTATGTATCTTACATTTTTGAATTTACTGTAAGCTTGCCTAAGCGGCTCATTCTTGCCTAAAGGGTAAAGCCTGACACCTTGGTTCAAGTCCATGGAAAGTATCTGGATAATTTGGAGCCAGTCACTCGCCCTCTGCTTAACCTAGCTCACAGGGTTGCTTGTGTAGGGATAAAATGGAGAACTCCATGTAAATGGTCTTGGGCTTTGAGAGGACAGGTGAGATAAATAAATCTAACATAAGTAAATGCTGAAAACTATATGCATGCAATGGCTTGCTCTTCTCCCTGAATTTGTAGTCTATTGACAAATCACATTTGCAAGGCAATCCTGACCTTGGAGGCTCTGAGTTACCTTATGCCATCCAGTAACAGGCTGGCAAAGAGACATTTGCAGCTCCCTATACCTTTCTGGCAATAATTTCTCTCCTCCCCTGCAAGCAGCCATAAGAAATCAGATGTGGGCTTCTATAAAGATGTTACTAATTGGGTGTATTCTTTTGTTTCTTTCACTGCTTGGTGCTTTCTCATTTAATCTTTAGTCATATTCCTTTCCTTGCAAAAAGAACCCCAGTGTATGGTGGATGCACCTATACTTAAAATGATTAAATGCTATTTACTACCTTGAGCTTCAGTGGCAAATACAGTGGCAAATGCCAGTACATAGAACTGGAATATTATGTTGGATAATAGCAAGGGCTCATAAATTCCTGCAGTTGTTTTAATGTAATGAAAATTTAAGCATGTGACAGAAATTGACTATAGAAAGAAAAATCCATTGTAATAAAGTATAATTGTTGACTGATTAGCACAACTGAACTAAAAAATAGAAACCATTTCCCTTTCAACATTTTGGTTATTGTAGGATCAGTCATTTTTAAATCTTGAATACTTACTTTATAATTGAGTTAAAAATGAGAAAAAGCTTTATTTATTATTCTGGAATAGAATATAATCTCTGTGCTTTTCCATCTATGTCTGAATTATTTTTTAAAGCATGTACAGTTGAAAAGAATGGTGGGGGGGGACCTGATTTCAATTGTATAACACTGTATACTGTTAGAACTGAACATTACAAAGCAATGCTTTTGGTATAGACATGTAGAAACAGCACCTTTAACAGTAGTAATAATTATGTGTTTGCTTGTAGTATTTGGAATTCAGGAAATAAATTGTTGCCATTCTTTCATCTCCCAGTATGTATATATCTGTATATTACCTTCTTTCACCTCTTTGGTATAGACATACATCATCCTGGGAGACACTGTCCAGGTATGCTAGTATCAGAAGAAATTTGGGTTCCAGCCAATATCTGAATGACCTGGCATTAGCTAGAATTCAATTTAACATTTTATTTGCCAAAAGATAGAAGAGAGTTGAAGGCCTATTGATAAAGGGTGGGAAAGATTTATTTAATTTGTTTCAAGTCTCATTGCTCAGTGATTTTTTTTTTTTTTTGAGAAATTCAACAGTGATCTCTTGATACTTCTTTATTTCAAGGCACTGTTTCTTAAATTAAGTATTCCCTGACAGACTTGATGTTGTATCAGCTGGTGAGAAGATCCAGAAGAAAGTGTTTTGCAGGCTTGGATACATTCAGTTTCATTACCCCAAAATATAGCCTAACTATGAATCAGGATGATCTGTTGAAAAATCTACTACTAGAATACCTTTGTCTGAAAATTCATGAAGTACTGTATATGAACTTTTAAAGGAAAAAACTTTCAAAGTCCTACTACCTTTTCCTTCGACTTACATTTTTTCCAAGGGGATTTTCAGTACTCACTATAACAAAGACGAAATGTTGAAATAATGTTATGCAGGTACTTTCTATAACAAATCTTACTTCAGATATTGTTGAAATATGCTATCAAATTCCATCTCATGCATTCCATTAAGATTCATATTCAGTGTGTTAAATATGTGGGAAAACAAAGAGTATTTTTAAAGTACACTTTTATTTCAACATTTTTTCTTTTTATTTCATTAAAAAGTCATCAGTGTTCAGTGGACTTGAAAAATGTAAGAAATGCTATGCCTAAAGTACTGTTTTAACATGCTTTAAATGTACTAGTATGACAACATTTCATGTTGATATGTAGGCATTTATTTGCACGTCCATTGAGAATACTTTATACAGTATGTTCTCTGATGCCAAACTTGTGAGAGAGCAGGGAGATAACTTATATGCAAATTTATTTACATTGTAGATAAGAATGAGGAAACTTTTATGTCAGTTCCTTCATTCCTTTTTCTTGCACTATTAAGAATTCATCTCATCTTGATTGCTTCAGTGAGGGACTTAAATCTTTGGATTAACTGGAGTGTTATATATGGAAAAGTAGAGTTAATTTAGAATGTTTGGAGACATTATAAAATGTAAAAGAGGCCTTTTTGAAGATGACCCCCCCTCCTCCGTTGTCAGAGGTATGTTTATTGAGTGTATGGGAAAGAGGCTGTTCCTGGTTGCTGCATCAGGAATTTAATTTGGCCCCCATTCTCCCTACCTTTCAAAGAGTAGCTAAAATGCAAGTCTTTACCTGGGCTTTTAAATGTGGAAGATTTTAGTAATTGTGGTTTTAATTGCCTTGTTTTTATATTTTATTCTATTTTCTTTTATTTTGTGCTTTTAGCCACCTTTAATGTTTAATCTAAAGTACTTTCGGACATACAGTAATCCTCTACCAGTGTTGTATAGTGGTATAAATTCAGAAGCCTGTACATATTCTGTGATACAGTATTTATCTTTTGCTCAAGTGTCTGTTTGTTATTGCCAATTAAAAACATGTGAATTGGGACTTCCGCTGAGGATTCATGGCAAACTGGAAGTCCCTGAAGGAGCAGGGAGGGCATTGCGGCGAAGATTGGTGGCCAGGCAGTGTTTCCTAGCAGGCAAAGTCTCTCTGGAAAAAGGAGAGATTATGAGATGACCCACATGTACTCCGGACAGCTACTTCTCATGAGTAGACTGCAGGAACTGAGGGTTTGTGGTTGACTTGTGAGTTGAGCGGTTGGGAGTCAAGGGATTTCAACCAAGCTCACAGGCACAATGAAGCCTATATGGACATAAGGTTCACCAAGCCTTATTTCTTAATCACTTTTGGAAATTGCTTCTTAACTGCTTTTTAGCTATTAGGAACCTTTGTAATGGTTGAGTTTCTTCCAGTTCTTAGTGAAAGAAGTTTCAAATACAAGTTTAAGGACTTTAAAAAATCCTTTTTTTTTTTTTTTTAATAAACAGCAAAAGAGTGATTAGAACTATCTAATCCAAACTGATTTTGGAAAGTTAGAAATGGAGTAAAGGACCAGATGGATTTGAAATAAGATTTTGGAATTAATTATAAGAATCCTTCCCGTGGGAAAATTCTGTTGTTTTGAATTCTTAAAAAAAAAAAATGATAGGATGGGACTTTGAAGATTGGACACTAGAGGGAACCAGAAAAAACTAAAATTTACAATTAAAGGAGAAGAATGCTTAAATTTGACTTACTAATACAGAATGGAGCAAAATACTCTAACAATAGATGTATTGAAGGATATTTGTGAACAATGCACCCAGAAGTTAATTTTAAAAGGGTCTGCCATTATAGATAGACTGTGTCTAAAATATGGTATGGAAGAGAAACAAATTTTACTGGACAAGATTGAGACTGATTTGAAAGTGGATTTAAAAGTGACAGGCCACAAGAATGATATGGAAAAAGATGCTACACTGGATATACAAATGAAACTGGCTGATGTCTTAATAGTTAAAAGGATATACAGATAACAAACCAAAAGAGGGACCTGAATAGCTTTCTTATATTGGATTTATAAAAGAGACTTGTTAAAGTTTTGAAGGATTTTGTGAGACGGGCAAAGAAAAAATGAAAAGAAATCAAGTTCTAGAGCAGTATTTGAAGGGATTAAAGATCAAGATTGATTAAAGTAAAAGGAAGGAATATAAAATTGGTTTATTTGATCAAGATTAAAATAGATATGTTGTTATCTCTGGTAACCCTTAATGGACTTTTGCTTAATGGCTTTAAAGATTTTTTTATAGATAAGAGATAAGATTGGGAAGAAGAGATCATTTGTTGGAATATGTGAATTGGGTGGTTAAGTCAATATGTGTAAATGTATCTTTCATGTGTGGGCTTATATTCTCATTATATTCTCATTATTCTCATTATAGCGAACTCTGCATTCTGCTGTTAGGTACTTGTCATAAACAAATGAACCATAATTTGAATTTTGTGTTCCCTCAGTTCTTTTGGTATCTGAAACTTTATTTTGATTTATGATTGTTATGTGAAACATGGCTTGTGTTCTCCTAGCAATAAAATGGAAAGATAAAGCCTGAGTGATCTGAGTTTGGTAAGGGACCTTAAGTGACCTAAAATCCATTTTGTATCTTCTCCAAGAAGATTTGTCAGGTCTCCCCTTGGCCAGCAAGATTATGGTCACTTTCTCATTCTTAGTTTCTGTGATTCACAGAACTAACAAAGACATTAACCAACTGCAGTTTTAGTTTAAACCTTTTTTAAGGTGTTCTGTGTAGCATAGAATTAAACTAATTAAACTGTCCTCCAAAGTTCTCACGTTGCTAGCATTTATTCTGTCTTTTAAACAGATGCTTCTGTAATATCAGTTAGTGGCTTCTTTCCTCTATATGGGTAACTTTGGGAAATATTTTCAGCATGCAGTGATTTATTCTGGAATAGAAGACTTTTAGGATTGATTCTTGAGAAGCGTAATCACAAGTTTGGGGCAGGGGAAATTATTTGTCCAGACACTGAGTGTTGGGCAGTGCAGTACAGGTGGAGTTTCATTGACTGTATCCATCTTTTCAAAAAGCTTTGTTCTGATACAGCATCAGAGAACTTGGAATCTAAGCTTAATTGACTCTTCCTCTGCAGTTATGTAAATAGGATTGTAGGTGCCTTTAACTTGAAACCTTTATTTGAACCTTTATTTTTTTTATGCTAAACATGCTAAAGAAGTGTACGTGGATCTTTTCTTGGAGACAAGAGATTTTGCTTCTCCTGGAGTTTGCTAAACAATGGATTAGATAGCCTATCTGTAGTAGAGAGAGAGAATGAATTGCCCCTTAGCCACAGAAACCATCTGGGTGACTTTGAGCCAGTTACTCTCACCCAGTCCTAAACTGGAGAGTCAAAAAACATATCTACCAACCTGCATTGGATCAGCATGGTAGATTACAGTCCATAACCTTCAATGAAGAATCCTGCAATATTTTGATTCAGGCTAATTTTATCTATTTCTATCTCCAACCATCATTGACAATATTTGTGATGCATTCTGTCTGTTTCCTTCCTCCCTCCCTCCCTCCCTCCCTTCCTGTATTTAATGCTGTTTCCCTTTTTTCTCCCCAGGGTAACCAGGAGCCAACAGCTACTCCTGATACAATGGTCCAGCCATTCACCACAATCCCATTCCCACCTCCCCCACAGAATGGGATCCCCACAGAGTATGGTGTTCCCCACACTCAGGACTATGCAGGCCAGACCAGCGAACACAATCTGACAATCTACGGAAGTACACAAGCGCATGGAGAACAGAATACGAATACAGCCACCACACAGAATGGATCTCTTACGGTATGTTCAGTAAGATTTAAAGCTGAGAATGAATTATATTTATTTGATTGGTTGTCTGGCATTTATATTTTTCAGATGATAAAGTATTGTGCATCTGAAGTTGTGGTTTCAGGTTTTCTCCTTATTTTGGGGGCAAAAGCTAAGGAAGAGAATTCACAATTACTGCAAAGAGAAATGGAACGATCAGATTTACCTGAATGAGGTTGTTTATTATTAAAACAGGTGCTAGTGAAATAACTTGTGATGTTATGGATATCTAACTGTATTTTCTTCTAGGTTCATTTGTATGTTCAGTGTGCTCTTGGGCTTTGCTATGTTCAGTGTCCTTTTCTGTATAGCAGTACTTCCTATGACTTAACTAAGGCAGGAATAAATAACTTGAATCAGGCAGAATTAGAGTTGCATCAGGCTCTTATCCTATCAAAATGGATAGATATCATGGGATGTTGATCCACAGTCACCTAAGATGTATTACTCACATATAAAGATACTGATGCATATCTGTGCTCTGCTGAATGTTGGGCTCTCACAGAGACATAGATTAGATGACCACTTCCAGGTCCTTAATTCTAACCCACTGCTCAGTACAGGACCTACTAGAGTATCTGTGACAGATGATCATTCAGCCTCTGTTTGAAGACCTCTAGAGATATAAACTCACCATATCCTGTGGCAGCCTGTTCTACTACCTGACAGCTCATACAGTGAGGAGTTTCCTCCTAATGTGTAGCCTGAATATCCTTCTTTGTAATTTAATCCATTAGTTCTGGTCCTGCCCTCTGAGGCAATAGAGAATAAGCCCTCTCCTTCTGTGTGACAACCTATGTAATATACTTTGGTCTCTATTTTTTTTTTAATCTGTAAACTGCCCAGAGTTGCTGTAGAATCAGGCAGCCTTGAAACTGAAAGAATGAATGCATACACACGTACCTTTCAGATATTTGGAGATTGCTATCATATCTCCTGGCTAGGAGAGCCAGTTTGGTGTAGTAGTTAAAAGTGTCAGGCTTGAAACAGGGAGAACATGACTTCTAGTCCTTTCTTAGGCACGAAGCCAGCTAGGTGATCTTGGGCCAGTCATTTCTCTCAGCCCTAGGAAATAGGCAATGAAAAACCACTTCTGAAAATGTTGCCAAGCAAGCTACGTGAATTTGTCCAGATGGTCATCTGGAGTTGACACTGATTTGAACCAGATCCTTTAATCATTCCTCATAGGGCTTTATTTTCAGACTCTTAACTGTCTTACTAGCTATCCTCTGAACCTGCTCAAATTTGTCACTGTCATATTTGAACTATGATGCCCAGAACTGGACACTAATACTCGAAATGGGGTCTGACCAGGGCAGAGTAGAGTGAAATTATTATTTCCTGTAACCTGGACACTATTCTCCTGGACAAATCCAATAGCATTTGTCATTTCAGCATGTGCATCACACTGCTTAACTTGTGATTGACAAAATCACCCAGCTCTCTTTCACATGTACTATTGCCAAGCCAGGTCTTCCCCCATCCTATACTTGTGCCTTTCATTTTTCCTACCTGGATGTAAAACTTTACATTTTTCCGTATTAAATTTCATCATTTTCAGTTCAGTTCACTGCTCAAGTGGATCTAGATATTTTTCAGGTTTCTCTGTTTCCTCTAGTTAGCCACTGCTCCCACTTTTGTGTCATCTGCTGTCAGCCCTTCAAGGTAGCCTAGACAAGAAGCACAAACCATGAGTACTAACACTACCTTTATTGTAAGGTTACAGTAACAGAATCTTGCAAGTCTGAAAGCATTTGTTCCCTCCCTTACTTTTATTTTCCATAAAACTAGGGAGGGTCCTAGAGATTCTTCCAATGCCTCCTTTCCTTTTGTGGGCTAAGATATCTTTTGCATGACAGTTGTCTAGGCTGCAGCTCTTCCTCCTATTTCTCAAGGTTATTCTCATAGATCATCACATCTGCAAACTTGCCAAGTGTCCTTTCAACTCCATCATCCAAATCATTGATAAAAATGTTGAATAATTCCCAATCCAGAACAGAGCTCTGTGGCATTCCATTTGATGCTTCCCTCCAAGCTGAAGTGAATCCATTACTGGCCACTCTTTGAGTGCAGTTGTTCACCCAGCAGTGAATCCATCTAACAGTAATATCTAGCTCATATTTTACCATTTATGAAGGAGAATATCATGAGGCAATTAGTCAAAGGCCTTATTGAGTTCCAAGCATACTTTGTCTGTAGTATTGCCCTGATCTATTAAGCTAGTCGCTCTATCAAAGAAGAAGGTAAGGTTACTCTGGCACGATTTGTTTCCAATAAACTCATGGAATCTGTTGGTTGTAGCATGCCTATCCAAAAGTTCACAAGCATGCTGTTTTATAATCTGCTTGAGGACTTTGCCTGGTATAGATGTCAAGTTGACAAGTCTAATAGTTTCCCAAGTCCTCCTCCTCCTCCTTTAAGATGGGGATGACTATTCCTCCAGAAGTTCTCAGAGATTACTAGGAGTGATTCTGTGATCACCTCCACTAGTTCTTTCAGTATCTTGGGATGTAATACATCTGGCTCTTGAGAATTTAAATTTAAATTAAATTTAAATTAATTTAAATTAGTTAAGGTTTCTCTTATACTCTCCTTAAATATTCTAAGCTGCAATTTTCTCCTTCCCCCAGTGGCATAATAATGATGCAGCTAAGGCTCCATTTTCTGCCTGAGAGAAGGCAAACTCAAAATAGGAATTAAGAAAATTCCACCACCTAATACTGATTCACCATTTTCTCCTCACAAATGGACCCATACTGTACTCTCTTTTGCTTTCCTTTTATTTTTAACATACAAAAATAACTTTTTTTGTTATTTTTTTAATCTCTTACAAGCCTCAATACATTCTGAGCTTTAGCTTTTCTGACAGAGTTTCTATAGTTTCTGTAAGCTACCTTGTATTCTTTGGCTATGTTCTCCTCTTTCCCTTTTGTATAAATGTCACTTTTTCTCTTCAGTATTTTAAAGAGTTCTGCCATTTTTCCATCTTTTGTGGAGTGTTTGCACCTTCAGTATCTCTTTTCATAGAATTTCTTATCCTTCCTGGACAATTTTCTCCTTCATGATTTCTAGCAATTGGATCCATTATGCAAGTGTGACTCTTTTGACTTTCTCCTTCTCTAGATCTCACAGAGAACCATTATATTGAGCACCACAGATTCAGGATGGAGATACTGAGATCCATCATGGAACACCTCCAGAAAAGGGATATCCCAGTCTGTCGGACCTTTAGGAGGTCCATTTCCACATTCCAATCCATCTATTTCACAGGAGGTTCCTAAAATTTGTATATCAGGGTACCAATTACAGATAGCAAACCACAACATATAGTACACCGAACACTTGGGTGTAAGAGACAGGCCTGATCTCTCTTCCAAACATGAGAAAGGATACTATGTAGCAACTAATCAGTTAGCTCTTTGACTGATGACTCTTGCCAGTCTTATGGACAGATGATTGCCTGTATAGACTCAATGACATGGGTAGGTCTCCACTTATACCCCTCCAATGGATGCTTTCCTGCTTCCAGAATTTGGTAGTCCAGAGTATTTAAATACCACTGAAGTGAAGACCTCCCTCAAACAATGGTTCTCTGAAAGTCTCCTAAGAGAGGAAATGCGGCATGATTATACAGGAATAAAATTCAGTATCTCTGAAAAGGCCATTAGTGCTAAAGCACACCTTTAAAAAAAGATGGAAGCAGCAGATCAAGTCATCCAATGAAGCTCTTTTCATCACAGCAGAACGTGTCCAGAAACTTCACAGCATGGTGAACTTGCTCAGCTGCAAGTTCCTGGGCCCAAACAAATGGTCCTCAGTTATATGGTAGTCAAACAGGTTACTTCTGTCTTTAGGAGATCTGGACATCCTAGCAACAGTAGCCAGTCACAAGATGTAATTCATTTCTCTTTCCCCAATTCAGAGAGCAGAAGCAACAAATGTCACCCATCCAAACTGGCCTCAAGCCCTATTGTATACCTTGTCTTTATTCTCCTAATCCCCAGTGCTGAGGATGGCATGAGTCCAAGGAACAGGACTGATCTTAATATCTCCCATCTGCCACAGAAGACCTAGTACTTGGACATAGTCAACCTGACAATATCCCATCCATTAAGTTTCCCTACATCACCAGTTCTGCTAAGCCAAGGGGATCCAACCACCTGGACTCTATCTGATTACAACTGCACGGATGGAGATTGAGTAGGACAGCTCAATGGACTAGGATTAGTTTTACAATCAGTGGTCAATAATAAGTCTAGAATATGACAACAAATTCATACCTACCATCCTAATATCCTGCAGAACCTCTACCAGCCCCATATATGAGCTGACATGGTGAGCCTTCTGCAGATGGATCAGAAAGAAGAGGACCTCACCAATGTCATCTGCCATCATTTATGTCCTAGCCTTCCTATGGATGGGCCTTGACAGGGACCTAGAACCAATCACTCTTTGTAGAGAAGTATCAGCCCTCTCCTCAGTCCAAACATTAAAGAACACCAAATCCTTTTGGCCCATCATCATATCCTTAGTAAGATGTCCTTACTAAGACTACCCATCATTGGATCTCCAGTTAGTGCTTCAAGTCCTATCTAAGTTCTATTTGAGCCCCTGCACACACCATTCTTAGAGCATGTAATTGGGAAATTGGCATTCCTGATAGCCATAACATTATCCAGAAAAATGTGTGAGAGAGGAGGGCTCTCTGCCAAGATCTGTGTCATTCAGCTAGATAACTTTGCACTGCATAGAGACCAATTTTTTAAAACTACTGAACACAGAATTCCAAAGTAGACATCAGGTGGATTGTCAAGATCTACTTGAGTAGAATGCATATTCAGAACCTTGGATAGCTTCTTTGTATCCTTCCAATAACCTAACCTAGAGTGTAAAGCTTTGCCTGGCACGGTGTCAAGACGCATTAAGGCATGTATTAAATTAACATACAAAGTACAGAGTAAAACTGCCCCTGA